TCAAATTTAATTGGTTGCTACTACTTTGCATTTTCATTGGCTATTGTCTATGTCCTAGGGCCTATCAGTTAAAACTGACAATATACGGATGGGGTTTTAGACTAAAACCTTACTACAGTAATTTACTTGATCTTATATTTCTTTTGATTTTTTTGGGGGGGGGGATCTAAATTCTGTGCCAATAATCAAATCATATGTTCTGCTTTTGGCACCTAAGAATTTGCCTAGTAATAGCAATAACAGTTCTTATTACAATTATTTGTGCTAGTTTTAAAAATTATAGTAAATTCTAACAAGTTTTACAATCTTCCATGGAAAACAGATGGGGTGGAATAAACAAAGGTAAATGTCCTGGTTTTAATTTTGAAAAACTGAAGATGCGTTTCTGCATTTAGTCTTAAGAGTAGGTTCTCACAGTGTATAATGTCTCTGTGATCTACTGCCCACCATACTTTTCTCAGTTGGTATATCTCATACCAACTTTTATTTGCAAAAATAAAAATATTTCAACTGAATGGAGTGAGAATCCCAGTGTGGATTACTTAAAGCTATCTTTGGTTCTGACCATGGCTCCTCAAAGTAAGATTTTCAGGTCAATTTAAAGCAGTCTTTGATTCAAGTCATGGTTCCAGGCAATGCTTTCTTTCCAAAGCTAGTCCAGTTCAAGCTTTGTTTAAATTCAGGTTGTGATGCATGCTTAAAGCACAAATTTGATTCTTGTTTCTTTTGATCCAGACCTCAGTACATCTTATTGTTATCCTATGTTCCTTGTTCACAGAACATCAAAAAATTGACCAGATTAAGGATTGTAAGCTTGCTGTACATTCAAAATGAAAAATCAAATTTAAATCTATGTCTTATACCCTGAAAGAAAATATTTAACATGAATAATTTCTATCTCTATTCATCTGTTGCAGGGTATACTTTGGAGAAGTGCAGCTGAATGGCTTGGGAGAAGGTATGACTGGGTATCAGAAATATGTAGACCTAGGCATTTTGACTGTTGACAGACTGTAGAAAATAAAAATGAAGAATTATAGAATAACTAATTCACATGTTTGCAAAAGATAGATGCATAGATAGATGGATGTTTGAGATTTATAATAAATTGTTGAAGAGATGAAACTAAGATCTAGGATTCAACTAAAGAATATATTCATTTGACTTTTGTCAATAGGAGAACTAATAGGAGAATTTTGCAGCAATCTCTTTTGAGTATATCATAAATATAATAATAAATGATTTTTATGGTAAACTGTTTAATCACAAAGTATCCTCTCTCAAAAAGTAAACTGGGGAGGTTAAAAGAAAAGTAACTTCTTAAGGACTTGGCTAAGTACAAGGTAGTGGTAATGACCGGGTTTCCAAATAACAAGCTTGTTCTTTCAGACCTGGAGTTTTCTGTTCCAGTTCCCATTTCAGGTAGGGTCTAGAGATATGCTTGTCACCATACTAGTCTCCTGTAAACAAAATTGCATTAAAATCAAAAATTAGGTGGAGCAATAGAGTCTGGTGAGCACAAAGGGTGGTCTGCATGGACATCGTCTTGGGGACTTGAGTTTTATTCAGCCAAGAATACACTCATAGCAAATCAGCTTTTACCTCTGTGGTTGACAGTTATTGACATAAAGAGTAGTTGGGACATTGACCATTTCTCTTCTGCCTGTGTAGGATTTCAGACAGTCCGAGTTGGGACAGTTGGTACTCCACTAGGCACAATCACTTTGTCATGTGCCTACAGAATCAACCTAGCATTCATGTCTACCAGGTGAGGACTTCATAGTCAAACTAAATAATCTCTTCGAGGATACCCTTCTTTAACCTGAGTTTCTTGGATTTGGCAGATTGATATTATTTGGTAGTTCTGAGTTTTGAGCAAGTTTCTTGTTCATGTGTGGAGTTGCAGGGTTGAATTGTGGTGATGCTCTGCTCCCCATAAATTTACACAAAAGAGCAGTATGGCTGTCAGAACAAGTTGTAAAATAGAAAAAGTAGTCCTATGAATAATACAATTTGCTTATTACTTATTGCCTTGCAGGCAGTTTGAGAGGACCCCACCTATCATGGGGATTATCATTGATCACTTTGTGGACCGTCCCTATCCCAGCTCCTCACCCATGCATCCCTGCAATTACAGGTGAGGAAAGAGGAATCATGAATAGGTGAAGGAAATTATTCCAGGTATAGAGGCTTTACATCATGCATTGCTGGGTAGAGAAAATTATGTGAGTCTTGCTCACTACTTTATTTGAAGTGCAGTTTGCAGAAAAAGCCTGAATTTCTTACACTATTAGAAGTGTATAGAATATGAGAAGATTCTAAGTCGCATTCATTTCAGTTCACACAGTAGTTAGTGAAAAATCTCCTTGGGATTGTAGATATTTTTCCTGAGAAAAGTGCAGAATGAAAATACTTTGTTGCTTTGCCAAACAACTTGGCACTTGTTTTACAAGTTTCTCTTTTAATGTTTGTACAATAGTATAAGAAAGCATGCATGATTCAAAATATTTTTTGAAACACTTCTATTTTTTTAAAACTTTTCCTATCTTAATATTTTCTTCAAAGGCCAAAACAATAGCAAAGTATTTAGAAATGTCTTTTGTGATTCTCTGGAACTATATTTTGTACAACTAATAGCATTGAAATTAATTTATCAGTAGAACCTTCCTTCTAAAAAACAAAACATCTAGGTGGAAGATAAAGAAATGTTTCATTCTTTTCCAGGGAAAATTTCTGAACAAATAAAATCCAAAATTATTAAATCCACCCTAGTAGTTCCGCTCTTTGAAGGCAAGAGTGAGCTCTGTCATAATTCTCCTTTCAACTCCACCCAAAAGTTCTAGTTCCCTGTCTGCAGTGTTTATATCAATAGAGCCTTTGCATAACTAATATTAAACATTTCCATTTTAAAAATGTATCTTACGATTTTGTTACAGAACAGCAGGTGAAGAAAATGCAGTGACATATCCATCAGTGGAAGATTCTCAAGAAGTATGCACAACCTCTTTCTCTACTTCTCCACCATCCCAGGTAAGTTGCTTTTCGGAATCAATTTAGAAGTTTCCAAGTGTGTCTCTTTTAGATTGTTGTACAGTCATATTTTGCTGATAGCAAAAATGTTTGCTAAACATTTTTGCAATCTGTAAATATATACAGAAGTAAAGAGTATCACAACTAAATGGTGCTGGACATTGATCAGATTACACTTCTCTGTGCATATATTTCACCATTGCCAAGAAGTTGTATTTTTATTAATAAGAGTAGGGCATAAATATATAGAAAAAAAATTAGGTCCAGTTCAATCTTGATGACATTCTACTGATGATTATATATATATATATATATAGTCTAACCTTTTTATCCATCTGGAATTTTCAGATTTTTAAAAATTCTATACTTACATAGATTGGCAGATATTCTTCTACTTTGCTTTTAAAACTCTTTCCGCACTCAAGCCAATGGCCATACAGAACAGTTGGATTAAAGATCGTGACACAAGATTTAGTTTTAAAACCCAATGCAATAAGAACATCCTGGCATGGAAATAAGTTTCAGTTGCAGATCTTCTCTATTGGCAATATCAGTGGATGCTGCTGGGACCAGAAGAAAGTTAGGCTGCTTATATAATCACTTTTTAACTTTAGGAAAAGTATATTCTGCTGAATATGAGCCTAGAGCTGATTTCTTCATCCCCACTTCCCCAGCTTACTGTCCAATTTCAATTCATACCTGATTTGGAGCATTCTTGAGATCTTTTTCAAGAAGTTCTGAATCTAGTGTTGCCATTATCTTAATTATGTTTAGTATGAAAAGACATGGCTTCTGGCAAGGCAGCACAGTTACAAGATTTGTGATCAAAAACATTCCTCCCCTGTCTTATGTGTCCACTTTAAACTGAAAAGCAGAAACCCCACCCATTTGTACTTGTGTCTTTATGTTGGATGTAAATATATAAGGGTTTGTATCATGATTTCACGACACATTTCATCCTTTCCCCACTCCATCCCCTCCACATATGCCTATGTCTCCTGTCTTCATTGGATTTTCATTAAACTGGCACAAGTCTTTAAGCTAATGCAGATAGAGGTGGTTGTGGTCATAGAAATATTTGATGGCTTTGACTGAATTGATCTTTATGTAGTTTCCTCCTCTCAGTTGTTACCAATAACCATTTGACCTAATTATTAGAAGGCCAATACATTTGCAACAACGTCTAATTTTTTTTTTTTTTTTGCCTGATCTAAAGTGAATTCTCCAATGCAACATATAATTAGAAAGAGATTAATCTGGAAAATATAGCAGTTTCCCTGAAATGTTAAACCTTCTACAAATCAGGCAGTGCTCTACAGTTCTGTACATGAACATTTCTAATATCTGTCTGGACATAATATTCAATTCATCAAAATCTTTTCAGTTTTTCTTTCTGAAGTCCTTTTCTTTCTCTTCCTTTTGTGTTTTCTTTTGTGTGTCCTTGTCTTTGTAGTGTGTATTTACTGTCACTAAAGCACATTTTCAGACCCCTCCTCCTGTGGTGATGGATACCTTGAAGGGCCCTGTGATGGGGCTGGCCTTTTCACATCAAGTGAGTTAATTTTGGAAAATGTATGTGGCCAAAAACATTTTAAAACCTAAAAGAAACATGACAAAGTGTTTTTGCAGTAACCAGTAAATACTTTTGCTTTGACTTGATCTTGGTGAGACCAGCTGGCCTAAAATGAAGCAGGCCTTTAGGTTTGTCCTACTTACAAGGTTGGCATCATCTATTCAGTTCCTGAATACGTTTTCAAAAACAAAATGAAGAAAAAATCATATTGAAAGTCAGTGCATTTATAGTTTTATTACTGAGCAAGATACTTGTAAGGATTCCTGAGTTCATGGGTTAAAGCAAAGTTTTAGAGATTTTGGGGAAAAAAATCTTGTAATAGTCTATTGAGCTGGCAAGGGTGCAACAAATAAATAGACAAGATTCCTTTTGTCACAGCCACGCATACTGTTTTTCTTTCTTCTATTCCAAAAAGAGGAAAATAGATGCTAAGAATTTATTGAGAGTTTTAATATATGAGGTTTTATTTGAAATTTTGTTGCTTGGTCTGGGAAAAAAGGATAGATGAGGGAAAAGTAGGACCATGCAAGGAAGAGGAATTGCCTGGGGCTAAGAAGATCTATTTATAATAATTCCAGTCACAATAAAGGCGAAGTATTTTCTGCCTTAATGATAGTATAAGGAAACAGTCTGGTTGTGCAGATGATCCTTGCTGATCATATTCCTTGGCAAAGCAAATGCTACAGAGGAAAAATTGTCATCTTCAGTGCCGCCTTGAGTTGACCAAATAAAAAAAAAAAGTGGGATAAAAAATATAATAATAATAATAATTTCATTTTCTCCAATATTTGACAAAAATAAATGGATAAACTTTATTATATACCCAGCAGATCATTTTCAGGGGATCTCATAGCCTGAATTTGTGCCATGTTGATTTTTATCAACATATATCAATCAAGTATATGTATTCCTATATAATCCAGTACACCTCACACATTTTTATACTCTAAATGTGTTGGTGAGCAACTTCCTATTCCTATGTGCAGTCTTTTTTTTCATTTCAGAATTCAGTGAACTTTATGGCTAGGGTACAGTGGCCCTACATGGAAAATTCCCGTAGAATTCAGTAGAAATCTTCTGTGCCCATTTGCCCTGCCTACATGTGCATTTGGGTTTGGGCACCAATTAAACAAAAAGCAGGGAATGAAAATGAGAAATGTGGAAATGCTCACATATTTCCACAGAGCTCCCCCTTTCTATGACATCAATATTCTTTCATGTGGACACAAAAATAGGATAAACTGTCTTTGTTGAAATCTATATGCCTTCATATATAGGTGTTCAGGTGTGCTCAGACTTACCAGCCCTGCTGCATTTATCATGTGCAGCATAATAATTCCAAAAAACAGAATCATAACAATCAAATGGGCACATCTGTCAAGCAATTCTTTGGTATAAATTCTACACACAATTGAAAATTACAGATATACCCATTCCATAATATCCAACTAAACAGTAGGAAATTGCTTCTTGCTTGTTTGTTTTTCTACCCATCATTCTTAGACATGCTTATCCTCTTTGGCTCTGTACTGAAAGCTGTTATAATGTGTGTTGGTTAATAACCTGTAACCCTGGAATATTCAATGCATTAATGCAGTAGTTTTCATTGTCATTTTAAAATGTTGTAAAATTGTGTAATTATCAGAATCTATAAACATTTTTGTTACTTTTTGTTTTCAGTATTAATAAGCTAAAATGTAAACAAATTATACATTTATTTTAAAAGCTAGTGTAAGTGGGTTTTTTTAAAGTTACTTAAGTAACAAAGCCAAGAAAGTTTACTGAATTAGCTTGTATACTTAAAAAGGCACACAAAATCTCAGCTTCCATGATAGCTAAACAGATACATACACACATAAACATATATATCTATACCTTCACATTCTTCCTTTTCTCTTAGTGCAGCTACTACAGAGTCAGCTGATTAAGTAGCAAGACTGTAGCCTAGCCACTCTTCCTGCCCTATAGTCCTTCATTTGCAATTGAAGGAGATCAGGCTCTCCAAAAGTCAATGTTTGGCATGGCGTAGTGAACAGGCTTTGCCCTTCAGTCATCTTGAAGGCAACTTCCCTTTGGTGTTGGCCCCTACAAAGGCAGAAGTATTAAGGTAGGTTCTACCACAGTAATGGAAAAAAGCATTGATTAAATTGGGCAATTGACAGCCTTAGTGGTCTTTTATCACCACTGTATTTTCTCAGATGAAAACAACAGGTAGATATCACCAAAGACATGTAGGGAACAACAAAAGTGACTCACTATCAGCCAATAATCTGAATGTGCTCATTCTTAACCCAGTCAAATATTGTTGTTGTTGTTGTCATCATCATCATCATCATCATCTAAATAATTTATTAAACTTGGACATCTTGGATGTCATCTGCTGAAAGTTACTTATACCTAAGTCCTATGAAATTAGCACCAGGGATCAGGTTAGTACTTGGATGTCCTGCCATCAGGAAATCTCATGGCTGTAGGCTTGAATGGGTAGTTGAAAAGACATCTTGCAAAAAAAGCAGTGGCAAACCACCTTTGTATTAGTCTCTCCTACAATAAAAGTCTGATTCATTAATACAGGAATGAGACCTGTAGCCCTGCAGTTGATATTGAACACCAATTTCCGGAATAACTAACAGTTAGAGATTATAGGATTTACCATCCAACAATGTCCAAAAGTGTACAGGTTTCCTGTCATTTGCTTTAATAGTGCTAACTGGGATAATAGTACACTCATATATATAGAAAGAGAGAGAGAGAGAGAGAGTACACTCTCATATACACACACACACACACACATTTTCCTTAGCTA